TATGCAGGGCAGGGACAGACAGACAGTTTCCTCTGATGCTCACTCTTGCCACAAAGCCCACCCCCTTGCTCCTTCCTGTCAAGTAACAGCCCCACCTCCTTTCTCGGTGACCCCATCCGCTGGGAGAGACAGCCGGGGGCCTGGGTGCAGCCGGACAGAGTGTGCAGGGGGCACCCAGCAGCAAGGTAAGGAGACGCCCCCCTTGCCAATATAGCTCCCCTTTGCTCCAACCACTAGACCCCACTCCCCTGAGCCAGGGAGAGAACCCAGCAGTCCTGGCTCCCTACCCCTTCCCATCTAACCACTAGATCCCACTCCCTTCTCTAAGCCAGAGAGCAAACCCAGCAGTCCTGGCTCCCAGCCTCCCCACTTCCACTGTGCCCTGCCCTAACCATTAGATTCCTCTCCCTGCTCCACAGCCAAGGAGAGAATCCAGGAGTCCTGTCCCCCAGGCTCCTCCCCCTGCTCTAACCATTAGACCCCCTCACTGGGCTGGGGAGCCCTGAGCACTGGGAGTGCCTTAGGTTCCCAGGAGCCCAGAGGGGGCTGGGAGAGGGTCCAGGGTAGCTGTCCAAAGGCAGTGGAAAAGAATGAAACTGGTAGATGGATAAGGGGCCAGATGCCAGGGTAGATGGGCCCATGGAGCTGATCTGTGGCAGCAGGACACCAGGCTGGGGGACCATGGGGCTGAGCGAGAAGGGTCTGTGGGGCTGATCCCCCAGACAGGGGCCCAAGTTCCTCAGAGCAGCCGCCGTGCTGCAGGGGGCACCCAGCAGCAAGGTAAGGAGACGCCCCCCTTGCCAATATAGCTCCCCTTTGCTCCAACCACTAGACCCCACTCCCCTGAGCCAGGGAGAGAACCCAGCAGTCCTGGCTCCCTACCCCTTCCCATCTAACCACTAGATCCCACTCCCTTCTCTAAGCCAGAGAGCAAACCCAGCAGTCCTGGCTCCCAGCCTCCCCACTTCCACTGTGCCCTGCCCTAACCATTAGATTCCTCTCCCTGCTCCACAGCCAAGGAGAGAATCCAGGAGTCCTGTCCCCCAGGCTCCTCCCCCTGCTCTAACCATTAGACCCCCTCACTGGGCTGGGGAGCCCTGAGCACTGGGAGTGCCTTAGGTTCCCAGGAGCCCAGAGGGGGCTGGGAGAGGGTCCAGGGTAGCTGTCCAAAGGCAGTGGAAAAGAATGAAACTGGTAGATGGATAAGGGGCCAGATGCCAGGGTAGATGGGCCCATGGAGCTGATCTGTGGCAGCAGGACACCAGGCTGGGGGACCATGGGGCTGAGCGAGAAGGGTCTGTGGGGCTGATCCCCCAGACAGGGGCCCAAGTTCCTCAGAGCAGCCGCCGTGCAGCTCAGGTTGCAGGGAAGGCATGAGAAGTTGCAGGGAAGACATGAGAATAGCTCGGGAAGTGGTTGGGGTGTGAAACGCTGCTGGGGAGAGCAGTAGCAGCACTAACCATTAGCAAACACTCCTCCCCACCCACACTGGAGCTAGCGAGAGACCCCGGAGTCCTGGCAACAAAGTGGTGCAAACAGAAAGGGAAACAACATGAACTTCCCTACTTTTCTAATGGCCTCAGCTGCAGAGAGAGGGAAGTAGGGGGACCCATGCCACTTTCACCCCTCCCCCAGGGCGTCCTGTGGGGAGGGGACACGAGGGTTTGGCGAGGAGAGGGAAAGGAGATGGAGTTTGGTCAGTGGGGGGAGGGGGGAGAGGGGAGTGGACTGGGTCTGGTTGGGACGGGGGATCGGGTTTGATGGGAGAGAAGAGAGGGCGCAGGGTGGATTAGGTGGAGGAGGGGGGGACTGGGTCTGGTCACTGAGGGGTCAGGTTTGCCTGGGAGGGGAGAGAAGGTGGAAACTGGGTCCAGTGAGTGTGTGGGGGGGAGGTTGGGCTGTGTGTGGAGGGGAGACAGGACGTAGGCTGGGTTTTCCGGAGGGCGCGGTGGGAGTCAAAGAGCCGCAAGGTGAAAGAGGCGCTTTCCCCCTCAGTGCCTGTCCTGCAGCAACAGGCCAAGGCAGGAGTGGGTGGGGTGTGAAACGTTCATGGAAAAGCAGCTGCAGCAGCGCTAACAACTACTGAACACCTGCCTACCGCAGGGCTGCGACATCCTGCCCCCCCCCATTCTAATCAGTAGACCCCACTCATCTCAGACTCCTGGCTCTGAGTCCCCCACTTCTCTCCCCCGCCCAGCTCTCACCGCTAGGCCCCACAGCCTTCTGAAGGGAAGGGGAGAACATGAGTCACGACAGCAATTTGACTCAGTCCCCGCACCGCAGTGGGTGGGATGCTGGGCAGGGGGGCTGGGCGGGAGAGGGGCTATGCCCCGGAAATGCCCCCATCTCAGGGCTCCTCTTGCGGGTCCCGCTAGCTGAGCCGGCCCGTCTTGGAGGGAGATGCAGGCCTGTAGCGTGGGGAGCTGCCTGCTGGCTGCGCTCAGCCTGCTGCTGCTCTGCCTGGCTCTCAGCACCGACTACTGGCTGGTGGCCTACGGCCCCAAGGACACGTTCCACAGCGGGCTCTGGCAGCAGTGTACAGTGGGCAGGGTGTGTGTGTCCCCTGCCCAGGTCAATGGTGAGGAAACAGCCGGGGCTGGGATGCAGCCACCTCTGGGGTGGGGCACGGGAGGTGTTTACATGGGGACTCCTCGCCCTGCCCTGGGATCTGGGGTGGGGGTGGAAGGTGTTCATTTGGGGACCCCTCACCCTGCCGTGAGATGCAGCCACCTCTGGGGTGGGGGTGGGAGGTGTTCATTTGGGGACCCCTCACCCGGCCGTGAGATGCAGCCACCTCTGGGGTGGGGGTGGGAGGTGTTCTTGTGGGGACCCCTTACCTGGCGCTGAGACATGGCCCTCACTGGGGTGAAGCAGTGGGCATCCATCCCGATAGGCCCCTATCGCCCAATCTTGGGACATGCACAGAGAGCCCTACCGAGTCCCCGCTCCCTCTGCTCCAGGCTCCCCCTACACCCACTGAGGGTTGGCTGGGGATGGTGGTTCCTCGTTAACCCTTCTTGTCCATACCCTCCCCACAGGGTATATACAAGCCACCCGGGCCTTCCTGATCCTGGCAGCTCTGGCCGCGGCCGTCTGCATCCTGTCCCTGCTGTCCTCCATCATATCCTGCTTCCAGAGCCCCGTGAGCCTCAGCCTCGTCGCTTCCCTCTCAGCCTTCGCTGCCGGTAGGGCCCAGCCCCGGGCCTGGCCTCTGGGGGGTGCCGAAGTGGGGCAGGGATTGAAGACTGGGGCTGGCCCCTCTGGGGGTTGTTGGAGCAGGGCTGACAGGCCCAGGGCCCGAGAATGGGGCTTGGGGCTTGGCCCCTCTGGTGCGGGTGCTGGAGTGGAGCTGGGAGGCCCAGGGGGGCAGAGAATGGGGCACAGGTCCTGCCCTCTGGGGGGTGTCAGAGCGGGACTGGTGCCCAGGGACATGCAATGGGGCTCAGAGCCTGTCCCCTCATGGGGGCACCAGCCTTTAGGACAGGGAGCCTGGAACCTACTGGCTCAGAGTGTCTACCCCTCCCTGCCCCAGCTGGCTGCACCCTGGTTTCCATGGCCGTGTTCAGTGCCGAGTCGTGGGACAAGAACAAGGACGGGCAGATCCAACTGACCTTCGAATGGTCCTTCTACCTGGGCTGGGCAGCCCTGCCGCTGCTGGTCCTGAGCGGTGAGCTGGGGGGTCGCCATGGCGAGCCGGGCTGGGACTCCACAGGGGAAGGCTGCTGGGGCAGGTTGGGGGGAGGGAGCCCATTTGGAGGCCGGGTGCTGTGGGGGCAGGCGAGAGGCATTGTGGAGGGAACAGGGTGAGTGGGATTGTGGGGGGCTGGGGAGAGGGTGCCATGGGACAGCACGGGTGGACTGAAGTTGTGGCTCTCCACCCTGGCTGAGTCTCTGTCACCGGGTATTAGACAAGTACGGGGATGGGCATGAATTTATGATGGGGGCTCTCCAAGAATTTGAAAAGTGGTCAAGGGCTGCACTCTTCCAAGAGGAGGAGGAGGTGCGGGGTCTGGGATGGAGGTTGGGAGCAGAAGGGTGCTTGGGGTAAGGGAGGGAGTTTGGGTGAAGGAGGCAGTTGTGACCTGGGGCACTGGACTGGGGTGCAGGGGGTTGGATTGTGTCCCAGGGCAGGGAATTGGGGTACAGGAGGGGGTGCAGGGATTTGGGTTGTGAGCTAAGGCAGGAGCTAAGGCAGGGGTTGGGTGCCAGATCTGGGAGGCGATATGAGTACAGAAAGGAGGCAGAGGATTAGGGTCTGTGGGTTGGAGAAGGGAGGGGCTGAGGTGTTCCTGAATCAGCCTCCCCGCCAGCCAGTGTCCCTCTCAGCTGTGGGGCAGCCCTGCCCAGTCAGTCAGCTTCGTGCATGGAGCCCTGAGCCGGTTAATCCGCTCTGGGGCCAATTAATCCCCTGCGAAGCTGTGTGGCTGCCCAGCTTAGAGGGAACAGGCTGTCTGATCTGTCCTGCACAGGCTGCAGCCATGTGCTCTGGAGCCCCTTGTTCTTCATGGCTGCCTGTTATTGAAACAGGCAGCTCCCATTGGCTGGTTTCTTAGCCAATGGGATTGTGCTGGGGGCGGGAGCAGCCCCTAAATCTTCCCCCCCACTCCAGGTTCACAGTTTAAAAAGAAAAACCACCCAGCGGCTGTGTTTGAGTGGCCTGCGGGTGGGGTGAGGTAAACGGGGAGCCTGCCATGGGCTCCCTGCAGCAGATCCGGTGGCTTGGCAGGCCGGATCCAGCCTACGGGCCGTATTTTAGCCCGGCCTGGTCACATACAGCACAAAATGGCTGAAACAACAACGACTTTATTAACACAACAGCAAACGTAAAGAACGACCACGAAATCGGGCTGTTATCATCGGGGCGGATGATAATTTTGCAGGGCCCAGGCAGTGCTGCGGGGCCCAGGGCGGCACAATTTCGTGCATACGCTTCGGCAGCAGCCAACCATAAGTAGCGTGTGCAGGGCCTATTGAAGCGTGGGGCCCGGGGCAGCCGCCCCGCTCGCCCTGCCCTATATCCGCCGCTGGTTATCATGAAACAGTGGTGTGAAGGCAGAACCCAAAATGTGAGTCGCTAACACTGGGGGCAATACAAATAGCGGGATCACACCCCCCTCTCGGTGTTTGGAGAGGAGGGTTGCTGGATGTCCAGGACGGAGGAAGGGAACCCGGGGAAACAGGACGGAGCCGTAGAGGCTCAGGCAGGCGGCCGGTCTTCTCTCGCTCCGCCTTGAATCTTCTTTTCGTGCCGTGCCGCCCGGCGTGTGGTGTGCGGCAGGAAGACGAATGAGGGAACGTGAGCGTGTGTGTGTGGACAGTAGATCTGGGAGATCGGTTGCCTGGCCTCACTGCAGGCACCTTAACCTAAAACGAACACGCTGTGCCCAGCAAGTGCGAGGGGCACAGACGGGCTGTGGCTCTGACCCCCCTGAGGGTGCAGGAGCGCCCTTGTCAGCCCTCTTGTCACCCGGCAGGTTGGGATCAGGTGACCCAACTTTTCCCGCCTTTTTCCTTTTCCCGCCTTCAGGCCAGGGTCGGCGACAGAGAGGCTGATCACTGTCTTTAGAGGCGAAATTAAAATGGTGGACCCACAGACTGGCGCCCCTCCCCCGACACAGGAGCGGGGGGGGGCTGGGATTGTGGGGGGCAGGACACTGTGACATCGGGGCAGGAGTTGGGGTGCTGTGGGGGACAGGGGTGACTGAGGTTTGGGGGTGGGGTGCCATGTGGGGGCAGGAGGCAGGATCTGTAGGCAGGG